TCCCTGACTACAAGAACGGCTGGCAAGAGCTGAGGTCTGCAAAATGCAGCCTTCTAGATGAAATCTGCAGCAAAGACGGAGCCTTTAGACATCACAGATTTCAAATATTATTATCGCTCTATAAATATCTCACGCCCACAGTATATCAGGTGCCACATGGGAAATACTAGATATTTTCTTAAAAGAAACATAACAGTACCATATGCCAGTCATCTTGGATAATATTTATGTACGTGCTGGAGAAGCGGAGATTAGCTCTGTCAATATGTATAGAAAAATCCCACAAAAGATCCCGTGGGGCGTGTATTATCCACACTTATAACCAAAGGCATTTGACTAATTTCTTCACTTTTTAAAGAACTCTTTCACTGTGAGCTGCAATGAGGAACTAATACAGCAATAATGAGGGGAACTTTCAGAGCCCCCCCCCCCCCCCGCACCCCCCAGGAACTCCTACAGGAGCTATTGGGTCCTCTGTAGCTAAAAAGCACGCCTTTAATCCCAGCACTCAGGAGACAGAGCCAGGCAGATCTCTGTGAGTTCGAGGCCAGCCTGGTCTACAGAGTGAGATCCAGGACAGGAACCAAAACTACACAGAGAAACCCTGTCTCGGGGGTGGGGGTGGGGGGAAGCTTTGACAACAAGCTCTTCTGTCTATTGTTCAGTAATGGGACTTGAAAACAGCTCATTCCTTTTCCATGGTAGACTCAAAAGAATAAACAAGCCCTATGAATGTGATCCCAAGTGGAAGTTTATACTCAAGCACTGTGCAAACAGCCAGTCAGAAAGTTTAGGCAGTGGGTACTAAGGGGCTTGAGCTGTCTCCCATCCCACCATTGAAGCACTAACTCCGATCTGAAGGTGTTTGGAGATGGGGCCTCTGGAGGTAATTAGATAAAGTCACGAGGGTTGGAACTGCCTAGCTTGCCTAGCTACCCTTCTAAGAAAAGGCATTAACCAGGTAAGTCACAGTGCACAGCTGTCGTCTAGCACTTCAGAGGCTGAGGCAGGAGGATGGGGAATTCTAGTCTGTGCTATATAGTGAGACTCCGTCTCAAAAAACCCACAACCAAGCAACCAGCTAAAGAGTCAGTTTCCTCTCTCTGCCTCTCTCTCTCTCTCTCTCTCTCTCTCTCTCTCTCTCTCTCTCTCTCTCTCTCTCTCTCTCTCTCTGTCTCCCTCTCTCTCTGTCTCTCTATCTCTCTCCTCTCCCTGTCTCTCTGTCTCTCTCTTTGTGTCTCTCTTTGTCTCTCTCTCTCTCTCCTCAGTCTCTCTCTCTTTCTTCCACCCCCTTTTCTCCCCTCCTGCCAGTAAGGATATATTGAGGAGTCAGTCATCTACAGCCTGAGAGAGGTCATCACCAGGTCCCTTACCAGAGCCCAACCATGCTGGTCCTGGATAATATCTAGCCTTTAGAACAGCGAGAGGACACACGTCTACTGTTCAGCAGCTCCGTCTTTGTGGTGTTTTGTCACAGCAGCCTGATATGACTAATACAATGAGGTTCTCGTGCTCTGCCCTTTCATCTTAAACAGTGGCACGATCAAACACGGCCATTACAATAAGCAGACACACCCGAGTGGCCAAAGCCTGGCAAAGGTGATTGTTAAGGACTGAAAGACACACAGTTTTCTGAAAGAATTGGTCCTGAGCTAAAAACATGGAATCGGCCAATTATTTGGAGCCCAGATCAGGATTAAATAGACTAATGCCAGTGACATTGAAATCCTGTGACAATGCTGTTGCGTGCAGGCGGGGTTGGGGGTGGGGTGGGGGGGTGGGGGGAAGGAGAGAGAACAAGGGAGTGTGGTGTGAATGGTGTTCTCTTTACTACACAGTTTTATTTTTAATTGCCAAGCGTCTGGCTGAGCAGTTATTAGTGAAATTTATTTTTTTAATAAAAGCTCTTTGTTAAATCACAGTTTCAATAACAATGATGTGAACTAGATTTTGCTCTCATCAATAAGATACTGAAGTACTTGTAACTTTTGGGAAAACAAAAAGAATTTCAGCCTGCTCCAAATGTTCATTCAACTGTTAGGCAGGAAAGCAAGAGACTTCACTGGAGTGTAAACCCGGAAAGTGCTTGTTAGGACACTCTCGGGGCTTGACAAGCCCCAGAAACCTCTCATTCTGCATTTATTTTGACATCTACACTGCTGTGTGACCTGAGGCAGATCCCTTGCTGTCTCTGGGATTTCATTTCCCCATTGTTTTAAAATAAAATAAAATAAAACCAAGAAAGACAGGATAGCTGAATGTCTCTGCTCTGCCAGGCCCTTGAAAGTGTGGCTCCACTCAGCAGCAGGCAGTCCTGAAAGATGAACTCTCCTCGTGGCAGACAGTGAAGGCTTAGGAACAGAACTGAAGCACAGAAGCCATACACCCAGGAACGGAGCCTCAGTTTATCACCGTGATTATACCCTCCGTGCAGCACCAGCTTGTGCCCACACATCACATGGGCAGCCAGGCATGTCCGACACTGGGCCTAGGGAGCCACAGATGGACCTGAATGGAGGCGCCCGAGACTGAGGCACCCAAAGAAGGGCATCTGGCAGAAAGGTAGCCTGAGGAAGAGGCATGTTCAGAGGTTCCCCAGATAGTGTCACTTGGATTAAGGGTTCTGCTCAGAACTCTGGCCTGCCAGGTGCTGGAGAAATCCTAAGCCCAGTGTGCAGATAGATGCCTGCCATCAGTCCTGGGCCAGCCCACTACAGCGCTGAGGTCAGTCCAAAGAGGAAGACCGAGGCTCTAAGTGACTTCCCCCAGCAGGCTTGGGGACACTGAGGCATGGGTAGCCATAGCAAATACAACTTCCCAGGAGGCTTGAGCAGCAAAGATGTGTTTCCTTGAAAGGCCGCCAGGAGCGGAGCCGCGGGCCGGGCCGCATCTCCGTCCCCGCGCCGGCCGCCCGCGCCCGCCATGCGCGCCCCGCAGCGGCCCGGGCGCTCGGGCCCCGCGTCGTAGCGCGGCGGGCAGAGACCGCAGGCTCCCAGCCCGGGCCCGCCGTGTCCTCGAGCCCGATTGGCGCCGCTGCCCGGCGCCAGCGCCCGGTGCCGCCGCCGGGGAGGGTGGTGCCGGCCGCGACCCGAGCGCCCGGGGCCCTGCGGGATGGAGCAGACCAAGGGCCGGGGACCCTCCGGGCGGTGCAAACTGGGACCCGGGTACCCCCAGGGTGGCGCAGCTTGGGGACTCGGGGACCCTGTGGGGGTGGCACGGCCTGAGGACTGGGGAGCCCTGCAGGGAGGTGCAGGCCGGGACCCCGGGACTCTTCTGGGATGGTGCTGAGGGGCCCCAGCATACTTGCATAGCCTAACGCCATTCTTGAGCAAGGCCTGAAAAGTACGGGGAAAGTTCATGGGCACAGGAACAAACAGGGTATCTGCGGTCGGCCACCTGGCCCCAGAACAGGGTACTAAAGGTCAGAAAAACAACTTGTACCCTGGATAAGAGCCAAGTCAGCAGGCGTGTCGAGCTGGGGGGGGGGGGGGGGAACCACGAGCTGTCCTGAGTTTGAACCTGGCCTCATACGAATGGTCCAATCAGAACCCTGTAAACTATGCTTCCTGCTTCTGTACCCGCCCTTCCGCTGCCCAACCGTATAAAAACCCTCCACTCCAGCCCGTGGGGGCGCCAGTCTCTTCAGCCTCTGGAGGGACTGTGTCGCCCCGGGTACCCGTGTTCCGGAATAAAGCCTCTTGCTGTTTGCATCTGACTTGTGGTCTCGGTGTGATCTCTGGGCGAGGGTCTCTCCAGAGGGAAGACTACCTTCGGGGGTCTTTCATCCTCATGGCCCCAGGGCAGGGGCTGGTTTCCCCCAGGCCTCTCTCCTGGGCTTGTGGATGGCCATCCTGCCTGTGTTTTCACTCTTCCCTGGGTCCCAGGCTCCCTCTCCTATCAGAAACCAGTCTCCCTGGACTTGGGCAACAATGGTGCTCATCTGTAGTGACAGAAGCTCTGGTGGCCTAGAGGAGGTAATGCCACATGGCCACAAGAGCAATTACCCAGGGGTGGGAAGAACTTTCAGGGATGATGGGCATGTTCACTCGCTTGAGCACGGTAGCCATTGATTCTCAGATGTTGCTTGTCAGCAAAGCACCAAATTTCACACACACACACACACACACACACACACACACACACACACACATCAGAAACCAAAGAAGTTTCTGGATTAACATGATTAAAAAAGTTAACTGTGGTATAAAGGCATTAGTGGATACCACAAAACCAAATGGTGAGATACTGTTAATCCTGAGGTTCGCCGGAGAAAAACCAGTTCTACTATATGAGTCAAATTTGAAGCAAGCTTTTATTAAATATTAAATTTTGTTCGGGTAGATAGACTCTGGCCAGGTCCACTCCCTAGAATTCCCAGCAGAGTGGCCCCAGACACGTGTTGTGGCTTAGCTATTATTTGCCAAGAACTGCAACTCCCAGCATTCCAGGAAGATGCTTGGGTGGGGATTACAGGTTAACACTGGGTCTTACAATACCACCATTCATCCCCACACAGTTCCCGCAGTGGCCAAGGATTCTCGAGTCCAAAGTTCTCCCAAGCCCTTCCCTGTCTCAGCCCTGTCTTTGTTCCTCAGGGTGGCTTGTGTTCCAGCTTTGGGCTTGTCTCGTGGGAAGTGCGGTAATGACAGCCAGATGCAGGGCTGTTGTAGGGTGAGGAGCGATAAAAATACCTGTGGGGCATTCCCAGACAGCGCCAAGGAAGAAACAATTCCCTCTCCTACCTGCTGGGCCCGCCGCCGCCGCCCGCCACGGAGTCCCCAGACACAGGGATCCTGCGATGAAAGGCTCTTGCACACGGCCTAGCCAGTGGCATTCCCAGGCACAGAGATCCCCCTGACCCCCATCTTCAGCACACTCATTTAACAGGGTCTCGCCCAGGAGCCCACCCTCACCAGCTTTGAAGAGATTGCTTTGGGATCCCCTAGGGAGGGAGGCCTTTACTCCAAGCAAATAGGTTTTAACCCTTTGAAAAGCTCATTGGAAGCATTGGCTGCCCACACACTAAGTCAGAACAATACAGAGAAGATTAGCATGGCCTCGGCAGAGGACAACCGGCAAATATGTGATACATTCCATAGTTAAATCCAAAGAAAGAAAAACACACTGAATTTCTATTTTGAAAATAAGCACATTATTACCTGAAGGACATTTAAAAGGAAATTCAGAAATACTTTTGAGAAGGAAGGAAGTCTGAGTGTTGACCCAGGACAAAAAGCAGGGTGCTGCTGGGGGCGGGAGAACCATTCAGGATGGTCTTTTGTCCCTTGAGTTTTTAATTTTTAGAACATGGGACAGAGTTCCTTTGATCTCAGAGGTGTTGCTTCCTTCTTGAAGATAAACCGTTCCACAGGCGGGCAGCAGTGTGAGGAACCTCCAGAGGGGATGCAGGCACAGTGGGGTGACAGCCTCTGGAGGGGGTGCAGGCCCAGTGGGGTGGGAGCCCCCAGAGACGGTGCAGGCCCAGCGGGGGTGAGAGGCCCCCAGAGGCGGTGCAGGCCCAGCGGGGGTGAGAGCCCCCAGAGACGGTGCAGGCCCAGTGGGGTGAGAGCCCCCAGAGGCGGTGCAGGCCCAGTGGGGTGAGAGGCCCCAGAGGCGGCAGGTGCGACAATGTGATGCCGAAAGCCCCTCCCCCGTTCACTCTGTAGCCCACAGGTGGGTAGCGGCATGGCGAGACAGGCTCCCATCACCATGGTCACCGTCATCTTTGTCCATGTTGTCGTATCTCACAGCTGTCTCCATCCTGTCTGGGCAAGCAGGAAGCCCTGGTGCAAAGGGGCTCAGCGGGCAGCCTTTTTTGTCCACTCGCCTGAAAGATGAGCGGGCCTAACTCAGGGAACCCATGAAGTGCGTGCGTGCGTGCGTGCATGCATGCATGCATGTGTGTGTGAGTGCATGAACCCGTGCACATACATGCGGAGGACTCTGGGTATCCTCTCTCACCCTCCACCTTATTTCCTTGAGGCAGGCTTCACTGAACTTGGCTGGAGCTTGAAGTTTTGAAGCTAGGCTGCAGCCAGAACGCTCCAGAACCCCGCCTGTCTCTGCCCCCGCAGTTCCAGGGTTACAGGCACGTGCGGCCCCACCTGACTCTTTACATGGCCGCTGGAGACCCACACTCAGGTCCTTACGCTTGCGCAGTCCACACTTCCACCCACTGAGCATCCCTAGCCCAGAAGTAGGTGCCACCTGCCCTCGGAGAAAAGGCTAAAAGCGACAGCTAATGAATGCACTGTCAGGAGACTCTGCGTGGGAAAGGTGCCTGCTCAGATTGGGGAATTTGGCCAGGAAAAATGACCTCCACAACCCTTTGGGCACGCAAAGACAGCAGCCTGATCAGAGAAGGACCGACCGTTCCAATTGTAAGATAACAGTAAAGAAACCACCAAAATGCCCCCCCCCCCCCATGAATGGGGAGAAGGTTTTTATTGTAGGTGCGAGAGAACAGCCAGAGGCATCTGGAAGAGTCCAGAGCAGAAAGAGAAAGAAGGAGACTGGCCGTGGCCAGGGCCAGAGAAGCAGGAAAAATTATGGGGGTTGTTAGTAGCTGAGGCGGGGCAGGAATGTCTGTGAACTGGGGCAGCCTGGGAGCTCAGGGTGAAGGAGGAAAGGGCGGCCGGGATGCTAGAGTGGACTTTGAAATGCATAACAGGTACATGTGACTAGGGACTAAAGGAGTCTGGAGGCCAGCATGGGCTTTGATATGTAACTACAAGTGTAGAGAAGGGAAGTGGCCCTTTCTGGTGGGCAGGTTCCTGAGGAACGCTGTGTGTGTGAGCTTTTATCTTTTGATAACACTCCTTCCATATAGTCTGGCTTGAGCAGAACCAAGACTGTCATTTCGGGGTTCCCTTTGGACCTGACACCAACCTCCCTGTGGAAGGGGCTCCCGACACCCCTTTTTCCCAAACCCATACTATCCGAATTTGGGGTTTTTGTTTTTGTTCTTTTAATAGGTTTTTTGTTTTGAGACAGGGTCTCACTGTACGTGCCAGGCTACCCTTGAGGTTGTTATATATCTTAAGCTGGCCTTGAATTCATGATCACTCTGCCTCTGCCTCCTCAGTCTTAGGATCACAGATTTCGGCCACCACACCTGATCCATATGGCTCTTTACTCTCTGTTTTTCTTGAGGAGGACAGGCTGGCTCTTGCACCAGGGGACAGCTAAACTGTGGTATATATCCTGACAACAGTGGACTGCCCAAGAGTAAAGAGGAGAAAACTACTCTTGCATCGCAGCAATAAAGGAGTAAACCTCACATGGCGTCCACGCAACTGAAAGCCGTATGCTTGCTACATTCCAGAAGCCAGTGCCAGAAGGCTGCGTGTTGTGTGGTCTCTTCCCACGGTATTCTGTCTGTCTGTTTTGTTTGTTGTTTGTTTTTGTTTTGAGACAGGGTTTCTTGTAGCCCAGGCTAGCCTTGAATTTGCTATGTAGGTGAGGATAACTTTGAACTTCCGGCCCTCCACATGTGCAACCATACTCAGCTTATGCGGCTCTGGGGATCTGACTTGGGATCGTGTGTGCGCATGCCGGAGTCTACCATCTGAGCTACATCCCCAACCCTGTGCTTCTATGACAGTCTGAAAAGAGGGACACTGCGGGCCAGAGGGACCGACATGGTCAGACGGAGCAGAGAGGGCCCTGGGGGAAATTGCGGACGGTGGAAATGCTGTGTTTTGTGGGGTGGGAGAGACCCTGTTGGGCTTCTCAAACAGCACTGAGTAGTAGATCAGTTTCCTTGTGTGTGAGTTATACCTTAGTACAGCTGGTGAGGAATCTCTGTGGGGAATGAAAGGTGACAGTCACAGGCTCTGCATGACCTGAGATCAGTCCCTGACTCAATGATTATGTTGTCAGTGTCCCTATAGAGCCCCTGGGGGGCCCAGAACCTACTGGCACTCCTCTGCCTGGCCCTGGCCCACAGAGGACTCAAGTGTTGGGATGCCCTGCAGACACCCTCCTGGCAGGGTACCTGAGGCCTACCGGCTTCCTCTATCCCAGCTCCTATGAGTCCTTCCTGGTGCCAAGCCCTGGACTGGCAGTGGGGACAGAACCCTTCACGGGAGGGGGTCACATGTAGGTGGGACACGCAGAGCCAACTGCACACACCTCAGACAGGATGAGGTGGAATCCAAGACTACAGAACCCTGAGGAGTGGCTGACCCTGACAGAGGTCGGCGAGGCTTCCTGCCAGAGGTGACATTCCTGCTCAATTGAGTCAGGGTGAGGCATCTGCCAGGGAAAGGTCAGGGGGATGCTGGGAACAAGAGGCAGGAAACAGCTTGGTTTTAGGGAGGATTTAAGAACAGGAGAGAGGACATGTGGTTTGATCTTCTGAGAAGGAAATATATGGGACAGCTGCTAAGTAAGGGTCTACTTAGGTCTTGACAGCTCATGAGATCTGCCTTTGGACTCTCCTGAGGTGGTGAGGGTCCCTAAGAAGCAAGGCCATTGGGTTTTTATTTTAGGAGAACCCTAAAGGTGGATTGCTGTGGGATGCTCTGTATGTTAAATGTGTTGCTCTGATTGGTTAATAGATAAAATACTGATTGGTCAGTAGCCAGGCAGGAAGTATAGGTGGGACAAGGAGAAAAGAGAATTTTGGGAACAGGAAGGCTGAGTCAGGAGACGTTGTCAGCCGCCACCATGAGTACCAACATGTAAGATACTGGTAAACCACAAGCCATGTGGCAAGGTATAGATGTATAGAAATGGGTTAATTTAAGATGTAAGAATCAGATAGCTAGAAACCTTAGCCATTAGGCCAAACAGTTTAAATAATATAAGAGTCTCTGTGTTTATTTTATAAGTGGGCTGCGGAACTGCCAGGGCTTGGCGGGAGCTGGAGAGAACCTCTCCAGCTACAGTGGATACCGGAGCCCTGGAGTTTCATATGCCAGGTCGGTTTCTATTTTTGCCTCTCAAGTGCATAGGGCCACCATCTTCTAATTTTGCCTTAAAAAGCAACCACTCTTCTGTAACCATCATGTCAAAAGCAAGGGAAGGGGGTGGGGCTGCTGGTGGGTCTTAATGCCCGGCGTTAGGAAGGAAATAATCTCAGAATATAGAGCATACCTTAAAATCAAACCCATGTGCCCATCATTGGGGAGGCAGAGGCAAGAGGATCTCTGAGTTCAAGGCTAACCTGGTCTACATAGTGAGTTCCAGGCCAGTCAGGGACACACTGTGAGAGCCTGCCAAAAAACAAAAACAAAACAAACAAACAACAACAAAAAAAATCAATGCAGCTTGACAAAAAAACTCACCACTCATCTGAGAAGACTTTCCCAGGCCAGGCCCAGGTCCTCAGACAGGCAGGAGACTGGGCACAGTCTGCATCTGCCCTCATGGATTTCTCAGAAACATATGCAACAAGCAGCTTGCACCCTAAGCCTGAGAGCAGTGGGAGGGGAGCTGCCAGCAGCTGAAGCAGCCAAAGAAGGTTCTAGAGCTCTGTGCCTGATAAGATGGCCGCTAACGTGTGCTTACGATCATGCAGAACGTGGCCAGGCTGAATAAGATGTGCTGTACGTGCTGGGGATTTCACAACCTTGCAGCATCAGAAGGACGTCAAGTTATCTTAATAATTTTGGTACTGAGTGAGCGCATGCTAGCTGAACTGCTAACATTTTGAAAATGTCAGGCGAAATAAAAAAATGCTACTGAATTAATCTCACCTTTTGCTATTTTAAAAAAATAAAGATAGATACGGTGGCATGTGCCTGTGGTCCCAGCTACTCAGATAGTGGAGCTGTGAGGATAATTTCAGCCTAGGAGTTTGAGACTGTCTCGGAAAATAAAATAAAAACATGGCTACTATTAATAGAACTGTAAGACACATACGTCACCTCCCATTTATGTCTCATTACTTTTTGGTACTCCACAAGATGGAGTATGAGCAGTGACAGAGCAGAGGGGCAGTAGAGGACACGGTATGGGGGCGGGGGGGGGGTTTCTGGACCCAACTCAGTAAACGACACGGAAGGGCTGAAGGTCTCCAAAGAGGGGCAAGGCAGAACCAGCTATGGTCAGCTATGGGTGGGTTTCTCTGGAGCCTCCTGCAAAATTAGAGGTCAAGG